GGTTGCCCTCCTCTTTTAGGGAGCTTCCACCGCTCTTTTCCTGGGGAGCTGGTGGTTTGAAGCTCTTCTCCCCATCCTGATTTTCAGCAATGAACAGTAGAACTAGGGTCACATGGTTGTTCCCCCCTAACCAATTGGACCAGTGGATGTAGAAGCAATAGTGGTGAGGCTTGGAAGCTGCTTCTTTCCTCCTGAGCATGGATCAGGGTCATAGCCTTGGGTGGGCCTGGGTGGGCTGCAGCTCACCCACTTAGCATCCAGGCCCACCCAAATCGGGGCCAGAGCCCCCCAAATCCACAGGCTGGGAGGGGGTGAGTTGTCCCAAGCGGGGGGCGTGCCTAGTGGGGGTGGGTCTGGGCAGGGCTAGTGCTGGGGCCGGAGACTGGGGCAGCAGCACATGGCGCTGGCTGGAAAGGAACCCAGGCAGATAGACACCGAGCCGGGGGCGAGAGGGATGCGCGGAGCTCAAGCCCCATCCGCCCCATGGACACGCCTCTCAGCCTGTGTGCTCTGGGCGGTCTTATCTTCTGTTGCTCGCTGAGTGGTAAGGGCCAGCTTGAGGGCGTGGGGGAAGGCGGGCTCTCCATCCCTCCTCCTCCTCCCCCTTCACCCTCCCCCTGTCATTGCCCGCACACTCAGGGCCTACCCAATTTTCCTATCCTAGCTACGCCACTGGCAGGGATTCTAGTTTTACGTGATTAAAAACTAAATTCTCTGATTTAAAACAACTTAAAAATCCACATTTTTCCACAATTAAAAGGAAATGCTGAACTTTAGTTTTCCGAGGCAGCTGGGGTCGGGCAGGCAGCCCCGCACGATACTTTCAGAGATACTGGGATTTTCAATAAAGTTTAATTAATGATTGATATATGTTTTTATTTTTTCACAAAATATACAAACTAAAGATTCCGTGTTTTTCCGCAGAGAACAGATTTCTAGGATTTCTGCTGATTAGTGATTAGCAGAATTGCCCCCAATCTGGGATATAGTAGATTATGGAGACCTGTACAAAACTACATAATTCCTACAGTTGTGGGGTGAATTTAAAGCCCTGTGGCCTCCTCCATGAAAATATTGTTCATAGGCTGTGTTGAGGACTAATGAACATACAGTGTTTTGAACACCAGATACTGCATAGTGATTGTTATTAGTGTAACCAAGTCACACTTGTAAATTCTGATGGGTGATGACCAGAGACTGTGCAGCCTAGTGGATAGTGTTGGCAAAGGCACGGAGTTCAAATACTACTACAGTTGCTCTTTTGTTTAAAAATTTCCAAAATTGTGTTTAAAAGTTTGTCATCAGTGTAATTTCAGATAGAACTAATTCACACCACATCTAGGGAAGTAATCAAAGAAACTCTGATCCAGAATATTTCCAATGTGTGTGTTTTAAAATAGAGAGATAGCAAATGGGCATGACAGTACACGTGTACTAGCTATAGCAGTCATTCTCGAACTTCTGTACTGGTGACCCCTTTCACATAGCAAGCCCCTGAGTGTGACCTCCCCTTATATATTTAAAAGTATTTTTAATTTATTTAACACCATTATAAATGCGGGAAGCAAAGCGGGGTTTGGGGTGGAGGCTGACAGTTCACGACCCCCCATGTAAGAATCTCATGACCCCTGGAGGGGTCCCGACACCCAGTGTGAGATCCCCTGAGCTTTAGGAACAGCTATATTAGAAAAGAGTTTTTACCACATAGGTCATGATCCTGTAAACACCATCCAACATGATACGCCCCTGGATCCCCCATGCTTATGGGACTAAGCACTAGAGCACCAGGGAGTACGTGTTTGCAGGATTGGGTCCTGAATAAGGTATATTTAGAACTTGCACAGCACCTCTAGCCAAAGATCTCAAAGTGCTTTACAAAGCTGGGTATTAGCGCAAATTTACAAATGAGGAAACTGAGCCACAGGGAGGTTAAGTGGTTCGAACCAGGCCACCCTGCAAGCTACTGGCAGAGTGGAGAATAAAATCTAAGTCTCCTGACCCTACTCTCCAGCTCTTAATGGATTGGCTAACAAGCTTTCCTTATTACTGATTTATCCTGTTAAATATAGTGGCCTACATTTTCAAAAATGTCTGGTGGTTTTTGGTGCCTCAGTGATTGGACACCCAACTGAAGACCCGGTAAGCAGGGCTGATTTGACAGAGGGCAGGTGTACTGTATAACTTTTTTGCTTTAGTATCACCAGTTATATTGCAAGTAGTGTAGGGCAGAATTGCACAGTAAGCGGTGATGTTACCAGATATCAAAAACTTTCACAACAGGTGCCTCTTATTCATTCTCTCCATTCTCTCAGTTATATTCTCAGCTGTGGATGTGGCCACAGTATCCTGGATACTAGTCTATGTGAACTAGTGCAAGGCTATTACTTGTCATGGTAGATG